TACGTTCTATTGTTTTGCATTAGATAGTGTGGGTCGTCATCGGGCGAACCGAAGATCATGCTACCAGTTACTCGCGAAACAATAATAAGTGGTTCACAACCTACATGGACATGAACAACCCATCAGAACGGTTGTAGTGTCAACTTTACAGTTTGTCTCGACTGATTAGTTGCACTAGTACATTTATGTAATGAACAGTATCCCAGAGAGGAGTAGTTCGTTTTATACTGATCATCATAAACGAACTAGGCCTCGGTTAAATACTGCGTATTCTTAACTCGTAAGATATTAAATAGGCATATATGTGTAGTACTTATTACTTTGATTCACATGGGTGAGGCTTAGTGAACTGAGCCAATAGAACCTCTGTCTTGGGTAATATTGCTGCATGTTGAATGTGTTGTTAGGATATTTACGGTCACCATGTGCGTTAGTTTGATGATGTCCCCAGAGTGAGCTATGAAGGATTATTATGCTAAACCATGCAGGTGGATTTAATTCCGGCATAGTAAGAATGTTATGAGCGAGCGCTAGCTTCGGTGAAGTAATAATAAATTAATTAATTCTTGATTGTCATTGATTGAATTAATTAATTGACATTATATCTTAAACATGAAAAGATAAATCGAGTAATTATAATTGGAGTCTCAATTCTAAATTGGGCTAAGAAAAGGGAGTGCAATAATATTATGTTGGTGGCCCAGTTAATATTAATTAATTAATTAGAATAAGTGGGTTGACCCACAAGTATTTTAATTAATTAAGGATCACTTCTCCTAATCTCCTGAGGGTCCCTATTGTAGCCCTACATATACATCATTAAGCTCATGGTAAGAGAACACAAGTTTCATTATTCTTGAAACACACGCCCCACGTCTCTCTCTCTCTCTCTCTCTCTCTCTCTCTCTCTCTCTCAGTTTCCATTCGAGCTTTATCTTCTTCTTGTTGTTCCACCGGTACAAGATTAAGAGGGTGTAAGAGATATACAGTAGAAGATCAATAGGTGTTTGAGACTCGATAATCTTCTACATAAATCGACTAGCCCAATCCGACGCGCCGAACCCGATCGTGACCAGACCAGCTCTGCCGTGAAGCCCGGACCCGCGACGTGCCTAGCCCGCGACCTAGCACCCACGATCCGATCCATCCGGCAAGCCCGACATTCGACGCACGTGTTCCGTTCGTGATCCTGACGTGTTCGTGTGTTTAAACGGCCATCCGAAAGATCAGCCAGATCGCCATAAATTTTTAGCCGTAAGTTCTCTATGCAAACCTTTAGATCTGCTACGCATGGGCTTACGTTTTGCTATTGAATTTGTGATTTGTATATAACGAGATCCTCATAGATCCCAACAAGTGGTATCAGAGCACTTGGTTTAATTTGTTTTGTAAAAGTTCAAATTTTTACGATTTTATTTGTCAAGATGTGTTCCAACACAGCCATATATTGGATTATATTCACATAACTCAGTTTTGCAGGAATTAGTTTAATCCATTATTATGGCCGACTATGTGTTTGATGAATGTTGATGAATGTGATTTATGGTTTTAAATTTGTTTTTAAAGCCTCAGACATGTCGAGGAATTTGATGGATGAATGTTTGTAATAATTATTCGCCCTAAGGTTGACTAGATAGATTTATTTATTTGTTTAGAATAACATGTACATCCATTCGTTGGATCTAGGATCGAATTATGTAATTTTGTAAATTATATTTTTCGTGTTGTAATCGTGGATTAATTGTCGGTAGATTACAAGAGATCAACGAGCCTCGAAGATCCAACCGGACCGAAGCCTTGAGGACACGCGTGAAATGCACAGAACAAAAAAAAAAAAGTTTTTTTCGACCACCGGCGGCCGGGCGGTGACTCGGCGGCGGCGACGGGCGCTGGCAGTGGAGAGGTTTTGCCTTGTTGGGCAAGCAATACAAGATCAACCAGGATTCTACTGCAGTGGGAGTTCTAGTTGAACAGAGAAAGAATTTATACAAGGTTTCCTTGTTTAAGGGAACTCAATATTTAATGACCATAATAGTTGATTTATTTATTTATTTATTCAAATTCATTATGCCATTATTTATTTATTTATTTATTTATTTATTTATTTATGCATGTTAATTAATTATTGTATTTGCATGGGATTAATTTGAAATTGCATATTTATTTATGCATGTTAATTAATTATTGCATTTACATATGATTAATTTAGAATTGCATAAATATTTAAATAAGTAAAAAAAATCCTCGTTAAATTATACTAAGTTTGAGAAGGGATATTAAATTACAGTTAATTATAAAATTCCTAAGGCCTCCATTTCTAATTTGATGGTAAATCAATTAATTGCGGTATGGGCTCCCCCACGAGAGACATCACCAAAATTAATTGTAGGAAATTACCATGACAAAATTCTAAAATTAGACGGTTAGAGAAAAGCTTAATTGAGAGTATGGACTGCTTCACGGAGGACGTATAATCTTTTTCGTTCGACCTTAGGACCGAGAAAGGAGATTCACTTAGAATACGTTTTATTTATAAACTCCCCACGGGGTCACTGAATTTATTGAATGGCCAAATGGAGATCGACTATTAATTTCGTTTGTCATGAATTTGGTTTTGACTTATAGAAATTAATGGGCCTTAGGAAAGCCCCTCTCTTGCGAATGTTGAGTGGTAGGGCGACCCACGTAGCATACTTACTCTCGGTGCTTTGAGATGTCAGTGAATTTAAGTTAATATTGTTTTGAGGATATCAGTATTAACAGTTAAATTCAAAAGTGTTTAATCTGTAAAATTATTTTCGTGTTTCTCACTCTATATTCATCATGTCGTTCAATCCGTTGTCTGTCATTCTAAAAGAAAATAAACTTACTGGCCCAAATTATACTGATTGGAAGAGGAACTTAGACATTGTGTTGACAGCTGAGTGTTATAAGTTTACGATCACAGAGGCTTACCCGGCAGAGCCCGCGGCTGATGCTCCTGAGCAGGAGAAGGTGGAGTATGCCCGGTGGAAAAAGGCTTATGAAATGGCGAAGTGTTTCATTTTGGCGTTTATGTCAAATGTTCTTCAACATCAACATCAGTCTAAGAACACTGCGGCAGATATACTCCTAAATCTCAATAATCTGTTCAGACACCAGTCTAGGGCTGCTAGGCTGGAGGCTATGAGTGATCTGATGAGCATGCGTATGACCGAGGGCACACCCATAAGGGAGCATGCCCTCAGGGTATGGCACTGCTCCATGAGCTTGAGGTTATGGGTGGCTTTATCGACGGGACCCAGGTTGATATCATGCTCCAGTCTCTGCCGAAGAGATTTGATTAGTTCCGGTTGAACTACAACATGCACAAGATGCATATAGCTCTTCCAGAACTGATTTCAGAGCTCCAGTCGGTGGAGGTCCTTATTCACTCAAGCGCTTCACGCGCAGGTTGCTGAGCAGGCTGGACCTTCCAAGCCTCATAAGGCAGGAAGAGAAAGAAGTCTACGGGAAAGGAAAAGGTGCAGGATGCCCCGGTTGCACGACAACTGCCCCCTCAGGCAGTGTCAAAGAAGACAAAAGATAGATGCCACAAGTGCAATAAGTCAGGACACTAGAAGGTCGACTGCCCTCGCATCAAAGGTAACTCTCTCGTTAATGTCGTAGAAACATGTTTAGCAGTTGTATCTACCAGAACCTGGTGTATAGATACTGAAGCCACTGATCATGTCTGCAATTCTTTGTAGAGGTTCCAAGAAACCAGGCGGCTTAGGGAGGGAGAGATCACTGTCTACATGGGCGATGCTACGAAAGGGGCAGCTGTTGCAGTGGAAGACCTTACTTTATCTTTTGATAGTAGTAGTTTGGTTTTAAGACATTGCCTTTATGTTCCTAGTTTTAGAAAGAACCTTGTTTCAGTTTCTAAACTTGTTATGGATGGTTTTTCGTTTACGTTTGATGATAATCTTGTTATTCATTATGGAAAGCATTTCATATGTTCTGGTTCATTAGTTGGCAATTTGTATGTTCTTAAACCATACTCTCCCACACTGCAACAAACTGAATTGAATAATGCCACAACTAAATCTAATAAGAAGAAGGAATTTTCGAGTATGAATCAAGCATAACGTTGGCACCTTAGACTTGGACACATCATCCTTAGGAGGATTCAAAAGTTAGTGCCCAGTGGACTTCTCGGTCCATTGGAAGAGCACTATCCAACCTGTGAATCATGCCTAGAAGATAAGATGACCAAGAGGCCGTTTAGAGCAAAGGGGTATATGAGCCAAGAAGTGCTAGGATTGACTCATTCTGATTTGTGTGGTCCTATGTCGATCCAGGCTAGAGGAGGTTTCGAGTACTTTGTCTCTTTTATAGATGATTACTCGAGATTTGGGTACATTTATCTGTTGCACCGAAAGTTTGAATGCTTTGAGAAATTCAAGGAGTATCGGGCAGTGTGGAGAAGCTACATGGTAAAAGTATCAAGTCGCTTAGATCTGATCGAGGTGGCGAATACCTCTTTTGAGAGTTCGGGACATACTTATTGGAAGCTGGGATAGAATCCCAATTGACAGCACCCGGCACGCCCCAGCAGAACGGGGTTGCAGAATGAATAAATAGGACTCTTATGGAAATGGTTAGGTCAATGATGAGTTATTCAAGATTACCAGATTCGTTTTGGGGATTGGCACTGGAAACAACATCGTACATTCGGATCTTGGTTCCATCGAAGTCAGTAAAGACTACTCCTTACGAATTGTGGAAACGACAAAAGCCCAGTTTCTTACATATTCGAGTATGGGGTAGCCCTACACACGTTTTAGTGTAGAAGGCTGGCAAACTGGAAAAGCGTTCAGAAGCACGAGTTTTGTGGGCTATCCCAAGGAAACGAAAGGAGTATTATTTTATAGTCTCGAGGATCAGAAGGTGATCGTTAACACGAAGGCTAGATTCTTGGAAGAAGACCATATTATGAATCACAAGCCCGCCAATATACTAGTCTTAGAGGAGTTAAGGGGAGAAGTCGATAGTTCTCCACCGAGTGCACAAGTAGATACATCAAATAATACTGCTACACGTAACACTGAGAGTGTACCAGTGCAGACAGTACCTCGTCGTAGTGGGAGTGTTTCTCAGTTACCCGACCAATGGTTAGGTCTTGGACAGTCTAAGGGCTCAGTTCCAGTAAACCTAGAATTGGACCCAAGAACCTACAATGAGGCACTCGAAAAAAAAGATGCAGATTCATTGAAATTTGCAATGAATGCTGAAATGGGGTCTGATATAGGATATTATATACTCAAGGATAAACCGGCCTACTTGGCCGGTAGAGGAGGCCAAATCGAAAGCAGGCCGAGCCAAAAAGGCGGGAGAGTTGACGCTCGAGCAGCTCAAGGCTCGAACAGACAAGCAATCGAGCAGTACAATGCTCGATCAGGTACATCGAGCAGTCTATCATTCGATCGAATAAGTGATCGAGCAAGCTAGTCGATCCCAGCAGGGTGATCGCTTCGAGGAATTCATAATTGACCTAGTTATGGGCGCGTGTATCATAGGCGCGCATGGGAGCCTCTGACTGAAATCTCCAGAGAATATTTACCCCATGTGCTGGGGAAACATGTGTCGACAATGTATTGGGTGATGGTGATAACTACCTCTGACGACTCCCAACGTCCTGCGCCACCTCTGACATGTGTGCGGCGTGTCAGAGTACGGACGGGCAGCTTGGGCAGCCAGCTCACCTCATCCGGGCAGCTCTTAGGGCTGGTATCTCACCCCTATATAAAGGGGGTGAGCCTTTCTTCCCAAACACATTCAATTCATTCTCTCAATTCCAGTATACTCATATACATACTGACTTAAGCATCGGAGGCTCTTCACCGGACACAACCCCCCGTGTGAGAGTTATTTGCAGGTTTCCGGCATTCTACCGGCAAGGACCAAGACCTATCCGTTCAAACCAGACCAGGACGCTTACACTTGCATTATTGGTGCCGTCTGTGGGGATTCTTTGTTCAAAAAGTTGTGTTTGAAGCTCAGCTATGGCCGACGGAATTCCTAAAAACTTGCAGTCGACGTTCGACGAAGCTTGGACGACGACCAGGCCATTGGGGCACGGCCCTCCTACGGGTTTCTCTGGCCCATTGCAGACTCCGGTCACTCCCGCACCTAACTTCCAAGGTGTAAGAGTGACGACGGTGATTCCCGGCGGAGATGCCAGCTCCAATCAGGCTCAAGAGGCTCGTGTAGCAGCGGCAACGGCGATGCCACCACCACCACCACCAGATCCAACGCAACGGCAGGGAGGAGTGCTGGCACAAGGAGGAGTGACACCACAGGCAGCTGTACAAACCCCTGGCCAACAAATGGTGGCAATGACCCGGGAGGAGATGCAAAGGATAGCGGCGGCCGTGGCGGCGCAGGCGATGTAGCAAGTTGCGAGTCATACTTCTCATGCCACCACTGCGCCGACCATGGTGGCCGGAAGCCAGGATGAGGATGTGTCTAGTTATAGCGAAGGTGGAGCGGGAAGAGATCGGGCGATGGAGAGGATGGCGGAGCAGTTGCGCCAACTGCAAGATAAAATGGAGGGGAGGCCAGAGAGGAGAGCTCGAGGACATCCCTTTTCAAGGGAGATTCTCGCTGCTCCGTTACCAAACAATTTCAAGGAGACCAACTTGGTGTATGACGGGTCATCTGACCCATCGAGGCATGTGAGGACCTTTGAAAATATGGCTGTGGTTCATGGGTATTCTGATTCTGTTTGTTGCAGGGCATTTTTATCAACTTTGCATGGAGGAGCACTCGATTGGTTTCATCAACTTTCACCTGGGTCGATCCGAGCTTTGAGGACATTACTGGCAAGCTTATCAATCAATATTCGAGCGCGGTGGTACAGGAGAAAACGTATTTGACTTTGATGGCGATGGGGCAGGGGGAGAAGGAATCGTTAAGAAAGTATGTTGTTCGATATAACCAAACATGCTTAGAGGTGCACTCGGCTTCGGACGAAGTGAAGGCGGGTGGATTGATAAGGAGTCTTCGAGCAGGGCCTTGTCGAACTTCCCTAGCAAAAACCCCTGCTCGATCATATGAGGATGTGCTGAAGCGGTGCGGGAAGTATATTAACTTGGAGGAAATGGAGATGGAGTTTGCTAAGTTGGAGGGAGTGGCTCGACCAGAGCCAAAAAAAGAGAAAAGTCCGCAGAGAGGGAGATCGCCGAGGAGGAATTCGCCCAAGCGGAGTGGGCAGAAAAGGGCATCACCCCGAAGAGAGAGTCGAGATTCGAAAAGGGAGAAGAGGGATGAATGGCAGAGGAGGCCGATGTTGTTTGAGAGACAGAGATACCACACTTTCACGCCCTTGAGGAAAGACATGACGGAGGTTCTCGAGGCCATGGAGCAGAAGATGTCGAGTGAGGATGTGACTTGGCCGAAGACGAGGTTTACAGGCCCAATTCGACCTAGGTCGGATATTTACTGTCGCTTTCACTGAGATTATGGTCACACCACGGAGAATTGCAGACATTTGAAAGATGAGATCGAGAGGCTGATTCGAGCAGGATACTTGAAAGAATTTGTGTATCATGATAGGGTGAAGGGGAAAGAAAGGAGAAGGTGTAGGGAAGACTCGGAGGAAAGGAGCGATAGAGATGAGGAGGGAGATGGTCGAGACGGTCGAGGAAAGAAGCCAAGAAGAGATGGTGATAAGGGAGGACATGGAGGAGAGGCCCCGATGAAGAGAGAAACTATTTACATGATTTCCGGTGGGCCAACTGATGGTGACTCGAATAAGGCCAGGAAGGAGCATGCTCGAGCGGTGAAGAGGAAGAGAGAGGAGGTGGGAATTACGGCCCGCATGCCGGTGATAAGTTTTAAGGCGGAGGATGCCGAGGGAGTGGTCCTGCCGCACAATGATGCTTTGGTGATAACCGCGGAGGTCGCAGGCTTCGATGTGAAGAGGGTGTTCATTGATACCGGGAGTTCGGTAGATGTGATGTTCTATGACTGCTTTGTGCAGATTAACAAGGAGCTGAATATGGAGCTGAAACCGGTGACCACGGCACTCTACAGTTTTAACGGGGGAGAAGTTATGCCGATGGGAGAGGTCATTTTGCCCGTGGCATTGGGATCGGGAGAGTTGAGGAAGGTGCGCATGGTGAGATTTGTGATTGTAGGGGCTGAGTCGTCCTATAACATCATCATGGGGCGGACGAGCTTGAATGCATTCCAGGCGGCCGTATCCACGTACCACATGACGATCAAATATCCGGTGGGCGAAAACGTAAGGGAGATTGCTGGGGATCAGCTCACTTCGAGAAGTTGCTACCAAACGACAGTCAGCAATAACAAGCAATTGGCGAAGAGGCAGACCGACTCGATGGGGGAGGAGATTAATCGACCAGGGGGATCGAGGTCGAAGGAGGATAAACAGAAAGTAGGGAAAAGAAAGGAGAAAATGGATATCCAACCTGGGGAAGAAGTCAAGGAGATTCAAATGATCGAGGGATGTGAAGGGAGAAAGTTCAGGATCGGAAAGGATCTAGAAGAGCCTATTCGGTCGAGGCTGATCCAGTTGGTTAGGGAGTTCGCTGATGTTTTTGCCTATACAACAGAGGAGTTAACAGGAATAAGTGCAGAGGTGATCGAGCACCGTCTAAACATCGACCTCAGCGTGAGGCCGGTGAAGCAGAAAAGAAGGCACCATGGTGCGGAGATGGACAAGATCATCGAGCAGGAGGTCGAAAAACTGTTGGGGGCGCGACACATTAAAGAGATTCAGTTCCTCGAATGGCTGTCGAACACGGTGATGGTGTCAAAGGCGGAAGGGAAGTGGAGGATGTGCATTGATTTCCGCGATCTGAACAAAGCATGCCCGAAGGACTTATATCCGCTGCCCAGAATTGACCAGCTGGTCGACTCAACGGCAGGGTGCGAACTGTTGAGCCTGATGAATGCCTCCCAGGGATACCATCAAATCCCCTTGGCGAGAGAGGACTGGAAGCGGGTGAGTTTTGTAACGAGTCGAGGGACCTATTGTTACGTGGTCATGCCATTCGGCCTAAAAAACGCGGGCGCCACGTATCAAAGGTTGGTCGATAAAATCTTTAAGGAACAACTGGGGAGGAACATGGAGGTGTATGTGGATGATATGTTGGTGAAAAGTAAAGAGGAGTTGGATCACGTACGAGATTTGAAAGAAACGTTCCTAACATTACGAAGGTATGGGATGAAGCTGAATCCTGCTAAATGCTCTTTTGGGGTGAGGTCCGGAAAATTCTTGGGTTACTTGGTGACCAAGAGAGGTATTGAAGTCAATCCGGAGAAGGTTCGAGCTGTGATGGAGATGAAGTCGCCGACGAATGTTAAAGAAGTGCAGATCTTAGCTGGTCGAATAGCGGGGCTGAGTCATTTTATATCGAAGGTGGCGGAGAAGAGCGGCCCATTATTCAAAACGTTGAAGAAGAGTGCAAAATTCCAATGGACAGAGGAGGCACAGAAGGCATTCAAGGAGTTGCGAGGGGTGCTGGCCAACCTTCCATTGTTGGCTAAGCCTATACAGGGCGAAGAGTTGGTGCTATACATTTCTATTGGAGAGAGGGTTGTGAGTTCGGTGTTGTTGCGAGAGGAAGGAATAGCGCAATTCCCTATCTATTATGTGAGTAGAGTGATGCAGGGGGCCGAGACGAGGTATTCGGAGATCGAGAAGTGTGCTTTAGTTGTGGTTGTAACTGCTCGAAAGTTAAGACCTTATTTCTTGAATCATAAGGTGAAGGTGCGAACGAATATGTCGCTGGGAGAAACACTTGGTCGGCCATCAGTCTCTGGTGGATTGGTGAAGTGGGCGGTTGAACAGAGTGAATATTCTTTGATGTACGAGCCAAGGAGAGCCATAAAGGCACAGGTGTTGGCTGATTTTATCAAGGAAGGCACGAAAGTCGAGGAGGAGTCAGAGGGATTATGGCAGCTGTTTGTAGATGGATCTGTGGCCCGAAGCGGGGCAGGATTGGGAATTGTCCTTGTCTATCCCAAAGGTGATTACTTGGAATTTGCGGCTAAAGTGGGGTTCAAGATATCTAATAATGAAGCTGAGTACGAGGCAGTGATTAAGGGCTTGAGTCTAGCCAAAGCAGGAGGAGCTCGAAAATTGCAAGTGCATTCTGATTCTCAACTGGTGGTTGGGCAGTTTCAAGAAGGGTTTGAAGTCAAGGAGGATCGGATGCAGAAATATGTGGATGAGATGAAGAAGCTGAGAGAGGAGTTTGACTCGTTCGAGCTAATACAAATTCCTTGAGGAGAGAATGGTTGAGCAGACCTATTGTCGAAGATTGCTCAGAGCTTGGTTGATTGCAAGAGTGGAAGTGTCACTCTTTTGCATCTTGAAAAGAGTGTGATCGAAGCAGAAGTGGCGGAGATCGAAGAGGTGGAGGATTGGAGGGCCCCGATCTTGGAGGAGCTGAGGGGAGGAGCGATAAAGGTGGTTAGA